CCCCAAAACCCCAAAACCCCAAAACCCCAAAACCCCTTTCAGGAAATTTTATATTGAAAATAAATTTTGGGGTTTATAAATTTTGATAGTAAGGTTTAAGTAATGGATAACAAAGATCAAGTAATTACGGAGAAACCGTCTCAAGAGGCTAATGAAGATCAGCCCAAACAGAAGGTAAATTAGTAGACATCATGATTTTAGGTAATTAAGAAAGATGTCATTAAGCAGAAATCTAAGAAAAAGACCATACGGAAGAAAAGAAATGCTCAGAGAATGAGACAATCCCAAAGCGTGATAGACATGAGCCTTTCATCTATGCCTAATAATGATGGGAAAACGATCTTACTACCTCCATTAGACTCTTCTACGATATCTAAGGACAAAACTATCTTGGTCTCGTCTAAAAAGAAGCCCCTAAACAGGTTTGACGAGCCTTCAAGTATCCTCGAAATGAAGAGACAAGTGCCAGAGGCATATTTAAAGGACTTCACGTCGTTTGTAAAATCTAAAAATGCTTCCAAAAGTAATCTTGGGAAAGCCAACCGGTGGCAAAGAAGAAGCCTGAACGAAGTAGACTTGGAATGCTTACCCAGCCCAAGCTCCTACAACCTAGAGAGTTACAGATCGGTAGCTGGACAAGCAAAGGCTACAAATGCTGATTATTTAAGAAGTATGAGGAATATCTCAAAGAGATATGACAGATTTTCTGGTAAAACTTATTTTAAAGAACTGGACAAGAGTAATTGAGAGCAGGGACCAGGCCCCTGCATCTATGACTCTCACAGTTACAATCAGATTAAGTTACCTAAAGTCAAGCACAAAATTGGATTTACCTTTGCTGATAGAGGACTCAAGCTTAAGAAAGAGGACAAAGAGAGTCCAAGTCCAATGAAGTATGATGTCAAGTATGAGTTTAAAGGTACCGATCATGTCAAGGGATACACCTTTGGATCTGCTGCCAAGAAATTCTCTCTATTTTAGATGTTCAATATTAAAAAACTGAAACGGGGTTTTGGGGTTTTGGGGTTTTGGGGTTTTGGGGTTTTGGGG